GGTGGAAAAATAAGCCAATGATCAAGATCAGCCAGCATCTTCTAGTCCCTAGCAGCTTCAAGTTGTCCTGGGCGAGAATTGGTGTTAACACCTTTTCTTGGTGGCTGCTCACCTGGGCGGAGGGATATTGTCTTCTGTGTGCAATGTTTTGCTAGAACAGGCGGCAACTTATTGGTCATACTATTATGCTTGCCTTCCAATGCTAAAGCCAAACATTGCAGTACTTGGTCATGGGGCCAAGTAAATCAACCTTGGCTAAGAGCCACCTTACATCCTGTCAAAATATGCCTTAATGTGGAAAGGGGAAGGTGATGAACACAAAGGACAAGAGAGATCCTCTCCTACTCAGAGGTTTGGGTTATGTGGTGATATGAACATATGTTGACCTGATAAGGAAACTGATCCTACTCTCTTCCATTGACCAAAGGTCTTCTCTCCCATCTCATCCACTTTCCATGCTTGGTCTGGGAAATGGCCTATATACACCTCATCCTCTCCTCCTGGTTTCGCACCTCGTTGACTACCAGCTTCCTCCTTTGAGCTGGGTCTGCCTTGTGCCATTTAGGAGGAGTGAAACTGAGCCCAAAACCCTCTCTTCCACGCTATACCTGTCCCACGATATCCCCAATTTGAAGGGCAGCCTTTGCCTCTGCTTATAATATAATTACATAACACACATAAATTATGTTATAATACATAACACACATAACTTGATTATGTTTATAATGTATATGATATCATGTATTTCGAAAGGGTTGTTCAATAAAAACAAACAAATAATTACTTCATTTTGATATTTTTTTTGATCTCATTATTATTGCCTCATTGTTATTATAGCTTATAGCATCCCATAACACTTGATGTACTACTAATTACATAATAAGAAGAATGGCATCTACTCTAAAATAAGTCTCTTTATTTCCAGAGGTGTTCTTTACTTAGCCGACACGGGCCGTATCCAGATTAGATGGAGGACCTGCGCTTAGACACGACCACAATGCAGCCCTGAAGTGTCAGCATAGACTGTGTCAACTAGACTGTCCCTGCAAATGCCTCACTTTTTTTCCCTCTGCACAGATGAAAACGTTATCAAAATGATTCCCGTTCACACGCATCTGCGGAAACGACTAAAAACACTGTATTATGCATGCCAGACAAGTAATTGGCAATGCCACTTTGTGAAAGGAAAGACTACGTCACCGCGTACATACGCATTCAAACGCGGAGGCCTAATAGTGCATGCCGTCACCATTTTCACAGATACATGGTTTTGAAGTTTACGCATAGAGATGATAACAGTATCAACAGTAACTTTTAAAACCCGTTTTTAAAGTTGCACTTTGAAACCTACTTCAAAGTCTGTGTTCTCAGGACACCAAAACGCCATTGTAGTGTAAATGAGGTGTGAGATGTTGTGTTACCCCCAAGTTAATAACTAATGATTTTTACAACGGAAATAAATGAATTAAAAACTTTCTTAAGCTCGACAATGACTTTCTTCTAGAGCTGCTGTACAAGGAAAACAATTTACTATTCTCATATCACTGTAAAACTGCTTTGATACGCTATTGTTATTATGCTATTGTTCATTATGCTATTGTTCATTATCGCAATAAATAAATAAATAAATAAATAAAATGTTAAAAGAATGTTGCATCTCGTGAGCTAAGTGAATCGGCACCCCCAATAAAACAATTTCTCAATAACAAAATTGTGGCAAGTGAAAATGCTGAGTGACTAGCAACTTATGAAAACCACTAGCTGCTGGTGAGCAAAAATGTTAATGGCAATTCCTGCACCCACCACTAGAGCCCCTTTCACACAGCGCGTTGATCCCGGGAAATTGCCGGGAAATTGCCTTCTGTGTGAACGCAAACATGACCCGGGATTGATACCAGGACTGATCCCGGGTTGGGGACCTAGTAACATTGTGGGGATCAGTCCCGGAACGCGCGCTGTGTGAACAAAAGCCAGGACCAGTGCCGTAAAGGGTGTGTCATTGTGATGACTCTTGTGCCATCGCGTGACTCTGTTGCTCTTACGGCGTGGATCCACTTGTCCGTGCAGCACTCCTGTCGCGCCGCGCTCCGCTTTATTCCTACGGGTGACTGCACGCGACTTTAATGCGCCCGCAAAGCATCCCGGGAAGGCGGCGCTTCATTTGGAAAAATGCTGTGCGTCAAAAATCTGGCCGATGCCCATCTTTATGCAAATGAATCCGTTGAACGCGCCGCGACTATCCAATAGAAGTAGAGCATATGGAGACAGAGGGAAGTCTCTCGCAGGTCCTCTGTTCTAGACTGGCCGCTGGCTCAAAAGCACGCCCATAGCAGTAAACTTGAGGAATGCCCATCAAAGTACAAACGTGGGGAGGCGTCGCGACAACACGCGAATGTCGTGTCGGACAAGTGGATCTCTACCGATAAGCCCCGTTCACACTACACGCGACCAAGCGACACGATACCATTGAATGGTGAGCAGGCGACTTCCGGCGACATGCGCGACAGCGACCGGTGGGGCGTGTCCAGCGACGCGACAAAGTTGAGAAATGTTTAACTTTATGCAAATTAAGGGAGATTTTCGCGAGCGACAACCAATAGGAGAGAAGTCAGTGGAGCGCGTCACTCTTCAGTGCTGAGTCTGACCGAGGCAATTGAACGAGAAGCTCATTTTAGCAGTCAGAAACTGTCCTATAATGGATGATATATCTCCGTGTACATACAGTGGTGTTCACCGTACTGACTCCGTGACTGAATGGTTTCGGGGAACCCAGATAGACTGGTATTTGCCCGTTTGCTGCAGTTAAATTGCCGCGATGGCAAAGAGCACTCACTGTTTCTCGTTCTTTAATATTATGCATTTTATGTACTGATTCCATTTATATTTAGACTTTTCCTTACAAAATATTTGTTTGTAGCGGCAATAAAACGTATTTGTTGTCTAACATAGAGTAACTTCCGTGAATGTCACTCACAAACATTAGGCAACCAGTAGTGGGGAACGCCCTCCAGCTCAGCCAAAAGCGACCAGCAGAGACAAAGTCGCGTGTAGTGTGAACGGGGCTTTAGAAGAAAGTTTGTGTTCGTCATCAACAAAGAAAAGGACGAACAAATACTTGCAAACTGGAGCGAAGCAGAGACCAGGAAGTCCTCACTATCAAGATAGTTCACCAGCTTTGATAGTTCTCTTGATAGTTCACCAGCTTTGTGGAACGGTATGAGCGTGTACATGTTTTCGACGCGTCCGTTATACGTCTCATCCTGACGTCATGTGTCTTCCCGGGATTTTTACGGGTTGTGTGTGAACGCACTCACAGATCCCGGCAAATCACTGGCAGTGTGAATGAACCGAAATCAAACAATCCCGGGACAAATGCCGGGTCACATTATCCATGTATTTTCTGGAATTTCTGTGTGAAAGGGGCTTAAAGTCCCCGTGAACCGGAAGTTGCAAACGATTTTTCTCCAGTGCTGTGACGTATTTCCAAGTGAAACGGAATATTGAACAGAGGGCAGGGTTTTACTCTAGCGCTCCTCCTCTCCATCTCTCGCTCATAGCAAACTAACGGTTTGAGGGGAGTGGTTAAGCGTTTCCCCACCCAAGTTGTGAAACCTACGTCATCAGAAAAAGAAACCGTTCCAGACCGGAAGTAACTTTTCAGATTTTGATTAAAGATTACCAAGGTAAAACAGTTTTTAAATATATTTTTACTTGCACGGATTAATTGTTCACCACAAGACTAGTAATATGCGCTAACAAAGTAAATAGGTTCAATTTTGATTTCACGGGGACTTTAAGTGGTGTTATAATAATTAAATTTACGTTTTTGGAATAAATTCCAGAATCAAAATTGTTTTTCTTTCATCTTTTAATGTTATTATATTGTATTATATAAATATAATAATTAATTTTTTATAAATTTTAATTAATTAATTTTTTGATTATAATTGCCATTCTGAATTTTCTGGAACGATCTACTGATTTATAGTCTAAATTTCAAACGTAGCCAAGTCCTATCATCTCACCAAGTTAACAGAAAATTTCTGAATCTCAAATCGATTCACAAACCTCCTGTGTGGGCATAAAGTCAAAACGCAATAGGCCTACTCACTCGAGCACGCCTGATCATTCTCGATATCTACTTATTTAGAGACGTGCATAAGCTGTGCAGTAGCCTACGTTTTCAAATATTAAAACAACGCATTTTTTAAACATTTTTTAGTGTGTCACCCCACCTTACTATTTTTACTGGATTCATCTGGCCATCCCATTAAAATATTCTCAAGGCGCGAGGGCTTGTTCTGCGTCGAGACCTATTTTTTACAGTCTATGGTCGAGACTCGTCCTCCTGCTGTGCTTGTTCACTTCAGACCCGTCTCTCTTTCACACACACGCGCAAAAACACACAATGATACATTTACTGCAGGAAAGGGTCAAAGCGCAAATTTCGTCTTGCTTGCTATCACTGTTGCATTCCATACTTCCCCATTTCTCCAGAAAGTTTAACTCCACTTTCTTTCTTTTATAGAAATGCAATACTTGCACTGTTACAACAGGTGCTTATTTAACATGATGTTAAATGTGTAGTGTTTGAGTACGAAATCAAATATCGATGACTGCTCTGATGTGTGACACGGTCAACACACAAACACTTGTTTCTGTCACAATTAGCCTATCCGTGCATAGTAGCCTATTTTAGTAAAGATTAGCCTAGATTGTTTTTCTTTACAAATCTGTAGGTTTTCATCAATTATAAAATTGTTCACGAGAAAGGTAAAATAAATAAGACCAAGTCGAATTTTATTGGGACACTTTGTAAGCCCAAGAAGTAATCAGCTGACAGGCCAATATATTTAAGCATATTTAATAATAATAATAATAATAATAATAATAATAATTAAAAAAAAAAACAGAAGACGCAAATTATGAAAATCCCATATTCATAACGTTGTCACTGTAATTGCAGCATATTATAATTGTGCACCCATTAAATCACTTACCGCTGACTTCCCGAGGCTCTGCGCTTCCTGTGGGCTCAGTGTCTACTTTACGTCCACATCTCCCGAGCCCTTGAACCAGCTGCTCCAGGGGCAACTCCAAATCCGGCTTGGGATAACACCGCAGACCACTGGAACATCTCGGTGTGTAAACACCGCACAGCTCGCCCTCTTGCCGGGCACACACCGGACAGCAGCCGCAGCCCGGCTCGCGCACAATCTCCGCGCATGGCTCCGTGATCATCGGGCAAGCCGCCTGGCGCTCTGCGGTGCAGCTTGGACAACGGAAAACCATTTCTGATCCAGCGGCGCCGTGAAAAGTCACCAGTGCCAGCAGCAAGCTACAACTTACGTAAAACAACATCGTGTCCTGTAGTAACCCTGCAAATCGGAGGACAAAACTTGTGCAGGTAAGAAGTGCACGCGGACAGGTGAAGGCTAACTGGGGCTGCTGCGCGGGCTCCTATCAGTGTTCACATGCCGCTGACATCATAGGAGATGGCAGGCGGGCTGCAGCTTTGTCAAACAAATCCTCAAAAGGGCTACAGAGCCTTAATTGGGTCTGTATTCTGTTAGGCCAAGGTCCTGCCTCATTTTTAAAACGGATATTTTATAATTCATATTTTTAATCGTAACGTTTTGATGCATGTTGTTTAGACATTCATCATAGCACTTTTATTTAACCTTAAACTGCAGCTGGAACAAGAAAGTCATTAGCTCCAACAGACGTTAAGAGAATTCCTGAGCTAAGCTAAACCAGCAGGGTCTTGATATATTAAACGGCTTAATTAAATTAAATTCTTGGTGAAAATTACCCTCAAGTGGAATTCAAGTTATTAAAGTTCTTTATTTTCAACTGGGGGAGCCTATCCTCCTCCAACAAGGCAGACAGCAAATGTGTGAAATATTATCTCCACTGTAAAAAACATTATATAAATTGTGTGGTTTAGATAACTAGTTTTTGGTGATTAAACCAAACTCCATATTCCAATGAACTTTGAACAAATGAACAAATTAAGGCAACCAGATTATTACTTTTAAGACAAACAAACAAAAGAAAACAAAGAAATTATAGTTACATAATATGTGCAATACTGGTCAAGTGTATCATATAGGCCTACATTATGAAATTATTACATTTTAATGATTGATAATGATATATTTTTCTAAAATAACTAAAGTGGAGAAAGGCATCTGGTCAGTGAAGTGCCTCTCACTGTATAAGTATGGCACAGCAACACAGTCATTGCGAATAAACAAATAAGTAAACTCTTCTGTGTCTTTGTAGTCATCTCTACAATCTCTGAAAATCCATTGGCATTATCAGTGCTGTACCTTCTTGTACTTAGCCTACAAGCTGAATGTTGTTGCAATCTCTCAGTTGCCTATTGATTACAGGGGCCAGGAGTCGAGATCATGCTTACCAACCAAACAACCATTAACTCGTCCAGAGCAAAGCCCACACTCTGTTCCCCTTTGAGACTAATCGTTGTTTATTTAAGGGCACAGAAATAGCTGCTTGAGACCTATAGCTGCAGTGGTTGTCGAAGATTTGGGATTTTTTTTTCTTTGTGGGTGCCCTCTTATTTCAATGCATTTAATGTATTTTTGGCTGCCAGGCTTCCTTTTCACCTTGGAGACTTTGATGGAGAAAGCTGGCTTTTGATATGACAGGTCTTGTAGCCGTCTTGATGAAGCAGGAGTATTTAGAACCTCATGTGTCATTTAAAAAAAAAGAGCTGGAGACTGGACCCACAGGCTCATAACCAGTGTCTGTGTACTAAGAGTTGTCCGGGTTTCTGTAGGATTTTGAGGGCTATAAGCCACAGTGGGCTATCTTGGTTAAGTGCAGTTCTCGATATTTCTGAGTAAACAAAAGAGATAATTACACTAATGCCCCGATGAATTCTACACTTCATGTAGCAAATGATAACTTTTATACTTAATTAAGATACAAGCACATAGATTCAGTAGGCTATATTTAATCAGCTTTAGTGCAGAAAAATCTATATTATTTGTTTTAAATTTAAATATTGTGTATTGAAAACGTTTTGAGAAAGTGGATCTGAAATAGCCTACGTTATTTTGTAGAATCTGGGACTGACAAAAGTAAAAAAAAAAAAATCTAAAAGGTCAGATATGATATGTGACTGCATTATGACTATTTAAAAAATCTATGTTAAATTGCATATTGGAATCTGTGACACTAATGCTTACTTTGGAATATTGTTAGTGTTTGATTTCCAAGAAAAAACAGAATGGAATGGTTAATCAATGTGGACACTCATATTTGCACATTAGCTACATGTCTACCATAAAAAAAACGGCAGTTACACAATCAGGTTGGTAGCTGTTTTTGCACTTTAAGCCATTGTAAAGATAGACAAGTGCTTTCAATGAGATAAGAGTCTAGACCGTGACATCCATCAGCGAGCGTGAACAATTGGACTGCAAAGTCTATAGCCTTCTTGCACTGAGTTTCGTGACACACTTCCGTTTTGAAATAATAGGCCTACAACTAATTTATTTCCGGTTATGTAAATTTTCAAAGTGTTTAGTCTTCTGCTTGACTAAACGGCACTTAAAATAAGCGTCGGCAAGAAGGTTTAAAAATCTGGACATTTTTAGAGACAGGATCCTGTGTACAGAAACAGAATAAAACAACTAATTTCTCTCACGTTTTAAGGCTTAAGACACAATTAGTTTAACATTTCCTAGCAAATAAAAAGCTTACCTTCAAAATACAAGTTCTTGCTGTTTTATAATGCATGTGAAAATAAACACAGGAGGGCGCGCTTAAATATCCTCTTGTTTGGTTACTTCGGGCCGCCGTACCTTTAAGAAACAAGATCATATGACTGCTACCACGGATGTCAACAAACTTGAAAGGGAATCAAACTGAAATTAATATAATGACGGTTCAAAAACGGATATAACGTTATTTACGTGGCTACGGCTCACGTGTTTGTTGAAATATAAGGTATGTTTTAGCGCATTTCATGAGAACGGATATTACCTTAACATTATCGTTTGGGCACCAGGAAGAGCTGCCAGTAACGTTATTCATGTTTTCCGTTCAGAAGGTTATAACGTAACACTGTAACGTTAGAGGTTTAGTAGCTACATTGTGCTTGAAAATTTGCTATAGTCTACCTCTTAAAATAATATAGTTAATGTCTAGACAGCTGATTTATTATACTCTGTTTAATAATATTTTGAATTGCTTTCTGACAGTTCAGCTATTAGATAAGACACTTGCGTGTGTTAGCAGTTCACTGACAGTGTGACTGAGGATTTTTTTGGTTGTGGAATCCCACCCTCTTTTCAGCAACATATGATTTCACAAGGGTCAAATTGTCGTTGAATTACCCAAATTATTAATATCATGTTTTTGTAGCAACTATGAATATTCAGATTAGAATAATTTCCCTTTTGCTTGTACTGATTTGGGTTATTTCTGTTCACCCATTTTAGGATGACATCCACTCAGGCCGGTCAGCCAATGGTTGTTCACAGACTTGCCACATTGCTGCGAAATAATGGTATAGAATCAGTATTTCAATTTTATTACTGTTTATTTTTGCAATTTCACCAGACCTTTTTCCAGGGAAAATAATTTGATGAGGGCGCAGTTAATAAATTGGTGTAATGTATGAAAAATAGTACCATGTGACAGTGTGACAAGTATTGATGCTTTCATAGGTATCCACTCATTATTATTCTTTTATTTTTATAAATCACACACAAACAAGATTTGTCTATGCATGCACACTGCAAGAAATGTAACACATAAGTTGTCCATCCACTGATCTATATATTATTTATATACATATTGTTAGTAAGTTAAGAATAAAATGCTATTCTCTTTAGGTTGAAGATGTGGAGACAAAGCACTATATTCCTAATTTACAACTTCAGATTTAGAGACTGATATGCAGGACAATACAGAATGATTAGTGCATATGATTTTGTTTGCATTTTGACTAAGATATAATCGGTGAAATCCCATGACGCTTTTGCATTAGTTTGAGGCTGTGTGGTATGCTCAGGCTTTTCCTTTAAAGCTGCCAATTAGTTTAATAAGGCGGTCATAACAATAAAGTTCTTGTTGCTCTCTGTATAGGTGACTCTGTGCTGGATGGTTCCAGTACTCTCACTCTGAAAGTGGGATGTTTACAACACCTGACACAACTCTTTGAGCGGCACCTTCTCTCACGCACACATCAGCATGGTTTTCTGGCCCTGCCGTCCCACCCAGCAGACACTGCCTCTCTGCTGGAAGTCCAGTTACTCTTTGACATGCTGCAAAAGACAGTATCACTTAAGGTACTGAAGACTCTAAAGATGGATTTACATAAATGGAATTACAAACTTGTTAAGTGTACAGTTTAATGCTGATACTCTGAGAAAATTTTACTCCAGATTAGTATTACTAGTAGTAAATCTTTTCTATTAAGATGTTTCTTTACTGATCCTTATGTATGTCCTTTTTTAATTTGTATTGAAATGCATCATAATTCTCCAATCCAATAGAATGAGTTGCAATGATCTGATCATTTGTGTCTGTAAAACAGCTTGTGAATCCACCTGGTGTGAAACTACAGTATGCTGTGAAAATCTTCCCTTTCAAATCCCTCAAATATTTAGAGGTATTTCAAAACAAACTAACCAAATTAATTCAGTTACATTTGTTGCATTATTCTGCATTATTGTTCTAAATATTGCTTTTTGGTTTGATTTGTTTTTCTGTTCAGCTCAAGCGTATTCCTCCTCATTGTCTTGAGGGTCTCAGAGGAGTGTATTCTCAGCTGGAAGTCTTCACATGCTCAAAAGGAGTCAGTTCTCTAGAGGTATTGTTTTCACCAACGGGCATTGGTACAGTGACCATAAGTTTAACCATGTTCATATACAGAAAGTAATTGTGTTTGTGTGTTTAACAGGAGCTTCTCTCTCTATGTGGAGGAGATCTCAGCTCAGCTTTACCTTGGTTAGAACTTCATACCCTTAATTTCAGTTACAATTCCATTTCCCGTCTCGACGAGTCACTAGTAAGAATCTCCTGTTTTCTGTAGAGTATAGAGTTACTGATTTTGAAATCTGTATCTAACAATTTTCTAAATTGTTTAGAGTCTGCTAAATGTCCTGAAGTGGCTTGACTTGAGCCACAACAAGATCCAAGATTGTGCAGAATTTTTAAAGGTAAATTGCTCTTGTTTACTTTTATTTTTTCAGTATTTGACTTTTTTTGAAAGTGAAAATCTGTGGATGCATGAGGGGAAAAAAAGATATGAAATGTAATACTAAGCGGTTACTGGTGTGTGAAAGCAAAATCAAATTAGCCAAAATAATAAACGGATGGGTAGACTTTTTGAAAGAGCTAAATTGCTAAAAATAACAATAGTGTGCATTTATTCATACTTTTTCTGTCTACATCAGTGATGGGCTACTAGTTCACACCCAATACAAATGAAATGGGGGGGAGACATAGGTTTGAGGTATGT